ATAGTGGAACTGACCCACTTTTTTTTGTCATCATGTTACTAACTCTGCTTGTGTCATTTCATTCTTTAAAAGGGTCTGTTTTCTACACCTGTAATCAATGCTGTTAAGGTTAAGTCTTGTGTGTTTCTTCTGAAGCTCCGCTCCTTGTTCAGTCCTGCTGGAATGATTGCTGCTGATTTGTTGACATCCATTGGTTCAACATACCCAAGTGTGCGAAACAATAAAGGTAAGAAGACTTTCAGAAGCCATGAAAATAAGCCTCAGAAAAGAAAAAGTAGAGAACTTAGAGCTAGTTGCAGCCCCCTCCATCCCCTGCGAACCCCTCTCTGGGAATGTTTCTTCCATCCCAGCCCGGGGTCCCTGCCTCCCCGCTTTTAATCCGTCTGTTACAGCGCCTCAGACGCGGGGGGAGAAGTCGTTGTTGGTGATACCTTTCCCAACTTTTTCTGGTGTTGGAGCGGTGCCGGCCGGTTCTTGTTACGGTAAAGGGGTCCAGAGCCTCAGGCTGCACGGAGAGCCCAGGCACAGCCAGCACGCCCAGCACAGGCGCCTGCCGCTGTTCGCAGCTCAGAGGAAGCGAGGAGCCTGCCCGCTGCCGCTGTACAAACGGCTGGCACTGGAAACTGCTCGGGTGATGGTTTGGCTTTGCCCAACTCTGGTCACACAAATTTAACACGGAATCCTGAATTTTTTCAGTCCAACCCAGAGACTGCCTCAGTTCTGGCAAGAACTGGGGACCCTCCATGGACCAATTTGAAAACTAATTCAATATGTTTGACTGACTGGTCTGATATTAGACGAAATTTCAGACAGGATAATGATTTTGACTCTTTAAATGGTCAGCTTCTAGCCAGGCCGGTGAGGTATGGTAAAAACAATCAAAATCCTCAATACAAACACATTATGATATCAAAGAACTCAGACAAGCAATAAAAGATAGCAGGCTGACTTCTCCATATTTTAATAATGTGGGGAAAAGTATTTTTAATTCTTACGAGCGGGTTCCAGCAGATTGCCGCAACGTGGCTTCTATGATTTTATCTAATTCGCAGTACATCTTATGGGACTTAGAGTGGAGAAAGCTTCTCAATAGAGTAACAGAAGATTATGTGGGTGGTCCTTATGCTCTATTAACCATTGCTCAATTAGCTGGTGATGCACCAAATGACAGGCTGGAGGATCAGGCAGTTTTCCTGCCTAGGCCTGTGCTCAGAGATATAAAAAACGCTGCAAGAAAAACCTTGCTCACTGTTGAACTGGCAGGTAGTCACGCCAATGCTCACTCTACAATAATGCAAGGCGAAACTGAGGCCTACGGTGCTTTTTTTAGAGCGACCAACACAAGCTGTCAAAAGGCAATGCCCTGATGAACAGGCTCACCCTTATAGTCTTAAAAGCCTTGCTTTTACTAATGCAAATGAGGAATGCAAGAAAGTTATTTTAGCTTTGCCTGACCGGCCCCCAACTGTTCCTCAAATGCTTTCAGCTTGCAGCAAACTTAGCCCCCACAGGACCTTGCTAGGGTACAAGCTAATGCTCTTGGGGAACAGATTCTAAAATCCCAAGATTTATTGGGAGAAAAGCTGGGAGATAAACTCGAAAAGGTTTTGAAAGCTCTTGTGACTGTGCAATTTGGTACAAAAGCCAAAGAGCTTTGTTTTAACTGTGGAAAGCCTGGTCACAGGAAAAAGGATTGTCCTGTACTGGTACCACAAGCTAAGCCATCTACTGTTTGCCCTCGATGTCAGAAAGGGAAACATTATGTGAAGAATTGTCATCCTCATTTTGACATCGATGGTAATCCCTTGCTGTTAAACTCAAAAGGCAGCACGGGCCAACACACGATGAAACAAGTAGTGGCACCCCAGTTGCCAAAAAATTTAGTTACCTCGGCTTTACCTGGAAGGAACCCAAATCAGATGTTATTTATGCCCCAGCCACCCATCCCTCAGGTGGCTCCACCCTACTACCCCCAGGGGCAAGGTTTGAGTTGGCAACTTCAAAATAAATATGCCTTTTAAAAGACTTCTGTTATGAAGGTATCCCCACAGAAATTACTGGCATTTCTCAACAAAGACAAGACTTTAATTATATACAAGCACAGCAACAGAATTTTTGGACTTTCCTTTCAGCTGTTGTTTCAGCAGACTGCAAACAAGCGCTAATAATTTCAGCTCTTGCATTTAGTATTCCTGCTGTGATTCAACCAAAAACACCTATAGCTATTGCATTGTTTTACCTATGGATACACACAGACAAAATATGTATCAAGAGACTCCACTTCCAACTAATCAAGTTGTGCACCCAGAGGTGCCATTTGGGAATCCTACCCCGAGTTTTGATGTCTTTTGGGTAGAACACATGGGCCTTGACCAACCAGAACTGACTTGCAGCCTGACTCATCTTGGTAGAACAGTTTCTATCACAGGCATGCTGGACACTGGCACAGATGTCACTGTGATATCTCACAGGTTTTGGCCGAGTGATTGGAATTTAGTGTCACCTCTGGGCACCCTCACAGGGACTGGAGGCACCACTGTGTGTCTGCAAAGTGAATCCAGGATTACTGTTACAGGTCCTGAGGGGAAGACAGCAACAGTATGTCCCTTCCTTGTGCAGAAGCCTCTCACTGTATGGGGGAGAGACTTAGTGTCCCAGTGGGGAGCAAAAGTACAAGTGGACCCCTGATGGGGACCACACCAAAGCCCACCATTCTAAAGCTGTCATGGAAAACTGATAACCCTGTTTGGATTGATCAATGGCCTTTAACAGAGAAAAGAAGTAAGTAACCTTAAAAACTTAGTAAAAAACAGTTGCAAAAAGATCACGTTACACCTGCAAGTAGTCCCTGGAATTCACCAGTGTTTGTCATCCACAAGAAGACTTCTAATTCCTGGAGACTACTTCACAACCTGAGGAAGATCAATGAAGTAATTGAGGACACGCAACCTGGACTCCCCTCTATGTCAATGATTCCAAGAGACTGGCCTCCCGTTATCCTTGATTTAAAGGACTGGTTTTCCAACATTCCACTCCATCCAGAGGATGCACTGAGGTCTGCTTTTTAAGTTCCAGCTATCAATAGAGGAGAACCACTGCAAAGATATCACTGCTAATCTTTGCCTCAAGGGATGAAAAATTCTCCCACCATTTGCCAATATTTTGTTGTACAAGCTCTGTCTCCAGCTCAACAGAAGCACTCACAATCTGCGATTCTACACTACATGGATGATTTGCTTATTGCAGCACCAACACGAACAGAAATGGAACAAATTCGTGACAGTGTTGTTACCGAAATTCAAAAGGCCGGACTGGAAATTTCTACATCCAAAATTCAAAATGTCCCACCCTGGAAATATCTGGGATGGAGGATGACTGAACAAACAATTACTCCACAGAAAATAAAACTCTGGACCAGTGGCAACACCTTGCAAGATTTACAACAGCTTTTGGGAGAAATTAATTGGGTCAGATCTATTTTGGGAATTACCAGTGATGAACTTGCCCCACTCTTTGACTTATTAAGAGGAGACTGTGACATCAAATCTCCTAGGACTTTAACACCTGAAGCTCAAGCATCCCTTGAAAATGTCACAGAAGCTTTCCAAAGGAGACAAGCCCATCAATGTGCTCCAGAAAAGCCCTTTATTCTTGCAGTTTTGGGAGAAAAACTGCAACTTTATGGTCTCATTTTTCAATGGGACCCTTGTGAAAGAGATCCTTTGTTAATAATGGAATGGGTTTTTCTTCCTTACAAGTCCCCAAAGACAATTTTTACAACTAGGGAGATGACAGCACAAATTATAATTAGAGCCAGAACAAGGTTGTTAACTTTAGCAGGCCAAGATTTTGCAGTTATTTATTTGCCTCTGATAAACGACAACCTTGATTGGGCATTGCAAAATTCAGATGATTTGCAAAATGCATTGTTGAATTTTTCAGGTGTTTGTTCTATTCATTACCCAGCCCATAAATTGTTGCAAATAAAATTGAGCTTTAGAGAAAAACCCATGTTGAGTGAAGAGCCTTTAAGTGCTGTAATTCTCTTCACTGATGGATCAGGGAAAACACACAAATCAGTAACAGTATGGCTAAATCAAACAACAAAAACATGGGAATCAGATATTCAAACAGTGAGGGGATTTCCCCAAATTACTGAATTAGCTGCTGTAGGCAGGGCCTTTCAGCTTTTTCCTTTTAATTTCATTACAGATTCTGCTTATATTGCTAATGTAGTTAAAATAGTAGAAGGATCAGGTTTAAAATATGTTGGAAATGATGTTTACTTTCAAGCTTTTATACAATTTTACAATACAGAACTAATCCATATTTTGTTTCTCATGCTAGGGCTCATTCTTCGCTCCCAGGATTTGTAGCAGAAGGAAACGCAAGAGCGGATAAGCTGGCAATGGTTGTTTCTAATACTTTGCCAAACATTATTGAACAAGCAAAACTAAGTCACGCCTTCTTTCACCAAAATGCACAAGCACTTGTGCGGATGTTTCACATTTCCAAATGTCAAGCTAAAGCCATCATTAGTACTTGCCCTGACTGTCAGCTTGTGCAACCTGTTTCTATAGGAGCTGTCAACCCACAGCGTTTGCAAAGCCTGCAGCCACGGCAAACAGACATTACTAAGCACCCTTCCTTTGGGAAATTTAAAAATATTCATGTATGAGTTGAAACCTTTTCAGGTGCAGTTTTTGCTTCTGTCCACGCAGGAGAAACAGCTAATCATGCCTGTCAACACTTTTTGCAAGTATTTGCTTCACTAGGGGTACACTGAGAAGTAAAAACAGACAATTGCCCTGCATATGTAGCCCAAAAATTGGCCACATTTTTGATGGGACTGGGGTGTTCGCCACTCTTTTGGAACTCCCTACTCCCCCACAAGCCAAGCAATTATTGAAAGGATACATCACACCCTAAAATGTGTTCTAGATCAGCAGAAGGGGGGAGCAGAGATGACACCACAGATGAGATTGAGCAAAGCTTTACATGTTTTTAATTTCTTGAACAGCTCTTTTGCAGAACCTGATCCACCAATTTTTAGGCATTTTTCAAATAACACACAGGCAAAATTAGAGGAAAATACCTGTTTTAATTAGAAACCCTGAGACAGGACAAATTGAAGGCCCTTTTCAACCAGTAACTTGGGACAAAGGGTACGCTCGTGTCTCCACAGGTGCCAGACCTAAGTGGGTTCCAGCAAAGAACGTCAAACCATATTGCACAGAAGAACACACTGGTGAGTCCAAGAGCAGAGAGACAAGCACGGAGATGTGAAACAAACAGAGAGCCCACGAGTCCTTCCTGACAAACCTTGTTCATCTGTGGAACCTGCAAACCCTGATTTTTATGTCATTGTAAAAAATGTGTAAATTGCTGATTTCATGGACTCCTTTGGCAAAAACATGGTATTTTTTGCTATAGAGAGTATATCCCCCCATTGAATTTGCAAAGGTGAAATTACCCCTTCTTTTTTTTTGTTATAGGTAGCTAGTCCCCAAGCAAATTTGAGAAAGTACAAGAGTAGAACTTGGGAAATAAGATATATGGAAGGGTCTTTTGCCAAAAAATAGTTCACAAAAACAATGGAGCTGAATGAAGTATTATGCTGGTACTTGCTGGTCTTGCTTGTTCTGTGCAGAGCAGATTTGCCTGTAGAACAACCAAAAACAAATGTTTGCCTTAGCCAAGGCTGCAGGCTCAGACACCATATGCCTGTCCGATTCAAATCCAGAAAAGCCGTTTTCAACCTGTCTAGTTGGTGTCCCAGTAAAACACTGGCCAATACCCATATATTATGATCCCTTGACCAAAACGGGAGCAATCTTGTGACTGATTGGAACATTTGGACCAAAGGACTTCCAAAAGCAGAATCTGAACCCCAAGAATTGGAAATTCTTGGTTCTTTGACAATGGATTTTCAGGTAGCAATTCGTGAGAGAATGATTCTCCAAAGTGCAATGTCACTCCCAATTATCCTCCTTATAGGAACTACAGTTTTTGGTGGAATTACTCAGACAGTTGGTGTAAATTTTCCAGGGCTGACCAATATCCATGACAATTACCAGAAGGATATTGGTTCATTTGTGAAGATAGGGCTTGGCAAGGTATTCCATCACACCTTGAAGGTGGTCCATGCAGCACTGGAGAACTCACTATGCTAGCACCTAAAACAGTCATTAAGAAAAAACATACAGGAAAAAGATTTATCCACCGGTATGATGAAAATTGTCAGAATAATTTTAGACCCTGAAAGGCTGCAGAAAGAGCTTCACCAGGTTTGCTACTACCCCAGCTTGCCTCAGCAATGGCATTGAAACAATTAGATGAGGTAAGATGTTGGCTGAGTAAACAGACCAATGCCACATGCCTTGCAGTCAGTGATATGCTGACTGATGTCAGTGGTGTTAGACATGCTACCCTTCAAAAGGTAGAGCAGCAATTGATTTTCTCTTACTGGCACATGGACATAGTTGTGAGGAATTTGAAGGATTATATTGTATGAACTTTTCTGACCACTCTGAGTCCATCCACAAAAGCATACAAAAGCTGGAGGATTTAACATCTCAAATTAAAAGAGAAAATGAATTATGGTTAGACGATTTGTTCGAAGGATGGAACTTTGCAACTTGGTTAAAGCAGCTTTGCAAAATAGGCTTGTATGTTTTAATGGTTGTGGTGATATTAGCAATAATGCCTTGTATGCTTCAGTGTGTTTGATGAGTGATGAACAAAGCTGTCAAAGTTTTTATTGTACAAGGAACCACAGTAAGTTCTCAAAATCTTACAAAGGTAGTAGATGCAAGTATAGATATAGATGAAGGCTTTGAATTAAGACCCTCTAATGGACAGGCCTTATTTGAATAATTATTTTATATATATTTTATATATTTATAATATATATACTTATATACTTATATATATATTTATTATTATAATAATATATTGTTATATATATATATTATAACATATATATTTATATAATATAATATAATATTTATGTATTACTTATTTGAATCCTTGGAATAGACCAGATCTTTACAGCCTGTAATTGCTGTGGTTTAAAATATCAGTGCTTAAAGTGAGTAAGAGAAGTACCTTAAACAAGCAAAGAGGAATACATTAAGTATTAAAAGACTTTAAGTTTTGCTGATGTACCTTTATGTAGAAAAAGTATTGCAGTAGACCTGTGTAACACAAGGTAGTTAATAAGCAACAAAGTTAAGAAAGTCTTTGTGGTCGTTCCGAGAGGGGGAATTGTGGGAAACAGTAAAGGTAAGAAGATTTTCAGAAGCTGTGAAAATGGGCATCAGAAAGAAAAGGCAGAGAACTTAGAGCTAGCTGCAGCTGAAAGTAAAGAAATGCAATAACACAGTATGCAAGGATGTTAAACAACAGTTGAGTTTTTAGGCTTGGCCAAGACAGACCTTAAGACTGCAGAAAAATATGCTTACCAGGACAGTAGAAAGCTTTAAGTTTAATACTGTGTTATTCTATTTCTATTGTTAATAGAAAGCTTGTTTGCTTTCTATTAACAATAAACAATTGTTTGTAAGCTTTAGCAATATGCTATTGGCTGAAAAAATTATAAAATGTTCTGTAACAAAGAGATCTTGAGCTGCTTGTGGCAGATGTGAGCTTGTGCCATCTCCTGTATCTGCAGCTGAGACTGGTGCCCGAAATAAAAACTTGTGACGTGTCACCCAGCAGTCCCATCCCATTTGTGAAAAATTAACCTCCAACACCCAAGCTGGCTTCAAACCAGTTAGACTTCAACCATGATGGCAGCCTAGGCTGGCGTGATTCTTGTAGTGTAATTCTTCCTCTTATTGTGCTGTACATCTCCACCCCTTCATCAATAGACAGTGTGGTTCACTTAAAACAATTTGGGGAATGTTCAAAATTAAATGAGTAGAGCTGCTGTACATACTCAGAGTATTTGGACGTGAGTCAGCACAGAACCAATTTGATTGGAAGCTGTCATCACTATGTAAGACAATGGGTAACTTTGCCAAATACAAGATCCCAATTTCCACCTCAGGTGCAGGTGGGAGAATTATTTGTTATACATGAATATTATATATTACATATATTTATAATACTCATATGTGTGTGTGTGTATATATATATATGCATGTATGTATATGTGTATATATACACACACACATGCATTTATTTAGATATATATATCTATTTATTTGAATACCTGGTTGAGGAAACCATGCAGAAGAAACCAAGTTTGCAACAGCATCTTTTGTGAAAGTCCGGAAGGAAAATTCTGTTAAGCTTTCCCAGTTCTGTTCCCAGTTTCCAGACTGCCTAATTTTTTCACTTCAAATTGACATGAAATGCTGAAAAGAAAGCTAAAAATCTGGCAGGAAGGAGGAATCAAACTCTGTCCACTTCTCACTATTAATAAATACCTCCCATGTTGCACACAGGTCTAGAGATTTCTCTTTGTTCTTCTTGTCCAACTGGTTTTGTTTTTTTGGGTTTTTTTTTCATCTCTCCTAATCCTTTTCAGGCTCTTTGGCATCCTACTTGAATGCAAGTATGTTTTTCAATGTGATCATCAGATGACAAATATTTGAAATATTGTGTCTTCTCTGGTAATTGCTAATTTCTAATTTTAAGGAGTACTAATTCCACTACATAATTACAAAAAAAAAGAAATCCATTAAGAAGTGATCCAGTATCAGGACTAAAGAATTATAATAATGAACATGCATTTTCACCCTTTATGCCATATTAAAATAATTTCTTTCATATGTAGTTTGTGGATTTTGGCTATTAACTGCACTAGGAAAAAAATGTGATGAAAGAAGAAAATGACATTGTAAAGTTACAGTTACAATACAAAGCAGATAGTTTACACTTAACAAGAGAGATGAGGAAACTTTGTGAGACACAATATAAAATGGACAATGAAGTGTAGCAGTAGCTACCCTTCACTAAGTCTATCCTGTCTTTTATTATTAGGTGAGTTATTCAAATGTCTCCTTTAATCATCTGACTCTGAGAGGAATCTTAGACCCTAACCTATTACATGGCTACTATAATTACCTGAAACAATTTCAGATTTTCCATCTGAAGAAGCTTACAGAAATACAACAGAAGGCTTAAGTGCCAGTAAAAAGCACAGTGATATCAGGCATTCCAAAAAAGTACATCTGCAGTCTTGATTCTGGGTCAAGAATAAAATCTCTTCATTTTTTTCAAGTATCTGTAGCCCTTATTTTCATTATCAGAAATGTCCAGAAAAACTTTGGTTTTTCCAAACAACAAATAAAGTCATAGAAAAGTAAAAACAAACACACAATTTTAAAAAGAGATTCTGTTTCTAAAGCCTTCAACCAACAAACCTTCT